ACCGTGTCGTAACTTTTGAATCGGGAATGCGGGAGATCGAGGCGCGGGATATCCGGGAAATCTCTAATTCGCCCATCGGCGAACTAAGCCGGGTCGGCTTAGTTCGCCAATGGGCGAACTAGTCGAGTGCTTCCTAGTTCGCCCATCGGCGAACTAAGCTGGGCCAGCTTAGTTCGCCAATGGGTGAACTAGTTGAGTGCCTTAGTTCGCCCTTTGGCGAACTAAGCTGGGCCAGCTTAGTTCGCCAATGGGCGAACTAGTTGAGTGCCTCTTAGTTCGCCCATTGGCGAAATAAGCTGGGCCAGCTTAGTTCGCCAATGGGCGAACTAGTCGAGTGCCTCTTAGTTCGCCCATGGGCGAACTAGCCGTGACTAGTTCGCGTTTTACGGCTTGTTTCGGCTTTTTGCGGTTTCGTAAAACGATTCTTTGAGTTTTATAAAACGATTCTTCGAGTTTTATAAAACGATTTTTTGAGTCTTATAAAACGATTCTCGAGTTTTATAAAATGATTTCTCGAGTTTTATAAAACGGCTATTCGAGTTTTATAAAACGATTCTCGAGTTTTATAAAACGATTTCTCGAGTTTTATAAAACGGCTTCTCGAGTTTTATAAAACGGCTTCTCGAGTTTTATAAAACGATTTCTCGAGTTTTATAAAACGGCTTCTCGAGTTTTATAAAACGATTTCTCGAGTTTTATAAAACGATCTTCTCGAGTTTTATATAACGATTTCTCGAGTTTTATAAAACGGCTTCTCGAGTTTTATAAAACGGCTTCTTGAGTTTTATAAAACGATTTCTCTAGTTTTATAAAACGATCTTCGGGTTTTATAAAACGGCTTCTCGAATTTTATAAAACGGCTTCTCGAGTTTTATAAAACGATCTTCGAATTTTATAAAACGGCTTCTCGAGTTTTATAAAACGATCTTCGGGTTTTATAATACGGCTTCTCGAGTTTTATAAAACGATCTTCGGGTTTTATAAAACGGCTTCTCGAGTTTTATAAAACGGCTTCTCGAGTTTTATAAAACGATTCTCTAGTTTTATAAAATGATTCTCGAGTTTTATAAAACGATTCTCGAGTTTTATAAGACGATCTTTGAGTCTTATAAAACGATTTCTCGAGTTTTATAAAACGGCTTCTCGAGTTTTATAAAACGGTCTGCGAGTTTTATAAATGACTTTGAGTTTTATAAAACGACTCTTCGGGTTTTATAAAACTATTCCTTTTGTATTTTTGCGGGGAGTTTTGGCTATTAATTCCGTCGTACCGATTTTGACCCCAACAAAGTCAACACCTTGCGCACACAACTGAGATCTCAGACATAGGCATCGAGCGATACAGAACCCCTTCCGTCGATCGATACACCCGTCCATAACCCGATCGAGCACCACTTCCAGAAGCTATCGATCGATGACAAACCCAGTCCATCGATCGATACCCGTGCTCATGAATTTTGTACCAGGAAAGAACTTGAAGAAACCACAGCACAAATCTACAAATCAATTGAGTTTTGTGGAGATGAAGATTACAGACTACTGGACAGATATTGGTTTCTGCTACACAGTGACTTCAAAGGACTACAATGCACAATGGAAGATATTCAGAAGGAGGTAGCAGATATTCAAAGACAGCTCGCCAGCCGACCTGACCTATCCCCATCGATCGATGAAGCAAACAATACATCGACCGATATGCAACCTCCAGAATCGACCGACGATCCAACACACCGTGACACCATGCAGCGAACTACAGAACACATCTACAGCATGCTTGGAAACCATCAGTACAGCCTTGCCAGCTTAGAAGAATGGTTGGGAAGGATCCAAACTGAAGTTTATGGTTTGAAGACTAATATGACCAGAAGTTAGAAAGCCACAGAAAGCTTTTTAACCTCATGGTTTGAAGAAACACAAGACAATGAGGATACTTGTTTCCCAACAAGTACCTGCAACCCACCTCACTAGCCACCATAATTCCATAGTCAAGCTAACTGACTTTAACCAAGCGCTGAGTGGGAGGCAACCCACTGTTAGGTATTTTACTTATTTATTTTATTTTATTTTTACTTATTTGTTTCGTTTTTATTTGTTTTTAGGAAGATAGACACACGATCAATACCTATCGACCGATACAAACCAGTCGATATCGCTCGACACAGACCTACACGCATCGATCGACGATGGCGACTCACCATCGATCGATATCCATATCGGTCAGGTATATCGTTCACCACTTTGATATCAGTTAACACATTTAATTTTTCTTATGCTCTTACTCTGACTGATTATACATTGGGGACAGTGTATGATTTAAGTCTGGGGGGAGTTGATTACTGATGCTACTTTACCTCTTTTTGATCTTATTTATAAAAGTTTTCAAAAATTGGTTTTATTGAGTCAAGAAAGGGAAAAAATTTCAAAGTCTTACTTTTTATCTTACCACTCTTTAGCACCATTCTTAGATTTGTTGATTGCAGAAAGTACTATAGATACTAAAGTGGATCACCGGATCACCTATGTCAACACTTTCATGATTGTCTGGAAGAACCAAAACTGATTTCCAATCTAACCTGACATCTACTGCTTGTCTTGGGGCTTGGTATACAAGGGATCGGAATCCTCCTGCAAGTCTGGAAGGTAAAAGTCTCAAAAATTTTGGTTTCCTTCTTTCCTTCCTTCGGCATCCCCAGAGAATAAAAGACTGATATGATTTCCTGAGAGGCAGATGGAGAGGTACATTACCTATGACCCCACTATTCTAAATCAAAGGAATGATCAAAGCGAGGGAGAGGTACATTACCTATGACCCCACTATTCGCTTACACTTTGTCAAGAAAGATTAATAAGATGAACATTAACTGTTCATTGGGATTGATATAAAAAAAAGAAAAGAAAGAAAAAAGAAAGAAAGAGTTGGGATTCAGAGAAGGGGGTTAAAGAAAGAAAGGGAACCAGGATGAGAATGCCTGAAACTTGTTTGAGTTGAATCCAAGTGTTCCTTGATCGATATTCCCAAGGTAAAGCCTACACCTTTATTTTTATGCATAAATGAAATCAGTAGAGGGATAGACAGACAAGAATTGTTTAAGTTGATTGGCTAGATGTATTTGGTTTCTAAGCTAGGATATGGTATAATGTACTTCTGTAGTTGATAGATATGAGATGTGGCTTGCAACAAAGTAAGAGGTGATGATTTTAAAGTTGAGATTTTGATTGAGTCCTTGCTGTTCTTAAACTTCTTTCGAAGACTAACTTAAGGTTTGCTTGAGGACAAGCAAAAGGTTAAGTCTGGGGGAGTTGATATACCATGATTTTGACCCGTTTTTGGTCATGATTTCTAGATGTTTTTATTATAATTATCTATGTTTTGGAGACTATTAGGTATGTTTTCAGGTTCAGGAGCATTTTGTGGTAAAGTGATGATTTAGGTTTCTTATGGAGCTTAAAGGAGAGTTTTACAAGATGACTATGAAGATTTTCGACGTTGAGAGACACATATCGATCGATACACACCTTGTATAATCGATCGATGATGATTCCGTAGTAGTTGAAGTCGAGATACTCAATTGATCGATGTACGAAATGTACCATCGATCGATACAGAGCATGATGAGCAAGATTTACTTGGCTGACTCGAAGCCCAAGTTCTCACCAAATTACAAGATTTCCCCTGGCGAGTTTTTAACCTAATTGTACTCCATATTTATAGTTATGCCTATGAGCCCTAGAAAGACAATCATTAGATCTAATAATAAGAAAGTTTTGTATTCTATTTCTACTTAAGCAATAAAAGTATTTTATTTTCATCTTATTCTTTTGCTATGAATCTCTTGGCTATGTCTGAGTAGATTCATTTGTTAGATTTGGGGTTCAAATAGTTATGAGGGATTAGCCCCAACTATGGATTGTTGAGTTGTTATATTCATTATCCAAATGAACCCTAATGCTTACTCTAGATTTGCTACCTAGAGTTATGATTATGGAGTGACTAATCTAATANATCTTATTCTTTTGCTATGAATCTCTTGGCTATGTCTGAGTAGATTCATTTGTTAGATTTGGGGTTCAAATAGTTATGAGGGATTAGCCCCAACTATGGATTGTTGAGTTGTTATATTCATTATCCAAATGAACCCTAATGCTTACTCTAGATTTGCTACCTAGAGTTATGATTATGGAGTGACTAATCTAATAGTCATGTTCCTGAAATCATTTGGCTAAGCCCAGACTCTATTAGGCACGATGCGACAGCCGGTCTGATAGAAATTCTCGGGTGAACACAGTTTCAATCCGATCTGATGATATATATCGATCGATACTCCTCTAGAGTCATCGATCGACGGCAACATATATCGATCGACACTGCGATAGCAACATCGATCGATACTGTCGGCAATCAGTTCAATGGATGAGTCTAATAGCGACAGCTATAGATTCATCTAAGGATTGAAGTTCTCATATATTTGCAAGCAATTCATTTAGACATCCATAGATTTATAATCCAGATTTTCTGAATAGTAACCTTGAATCTAACTACTTTCTTTCATTGTTTTCAAACCCAAAACCTATTTTCCTTAGCAACTTACCATTGCTACCTATTTTTATTTATTGTTTTTAAACCTTTTCAACCTAGCTTAATCACTTAAGATTATATCTTTTGTGACTCTAGTTCCTTGTGGATTCGATCCCTAAGTAGTACGATTGAACCTTTTATTTGAGAGAGTAAATCACTAATTAGGGATAAACATTTGAGTAATATCACTTGCTAGGGTTAATTTAAAAGAAGTGGAGCCTATTTCTTTGAGATTTATAAAAGAGAAAAGAAGCAAGTTGATGGAGGACAAGAAGAGATGGACAAGGAATAAAAGTTTCCATGTTTGTTAACTAATAGCAGATTTGCATGTATCATAGTATATATTAAGGAATGGATCTTGATGATTTCCCGGTGCAGGTTATGTGCCTTTTGGTTAGAGATAGACCAGGAATCAAGGCGAGAGATGTCTCCGAGACTAGTTTTGCTTCACCAAGAAAGACGTTACATCCTCTTTGGTGATGGATTTCTTGTTTCATGGGTTAAACTCTCTTGTATGGAGTACCAACCAGGAGAACATACTGCATACAATTTCAAGACAAATGGGGAAACTCCTTAAAGATGATTTGGATTCTTCAGTATTGAAGGCTCTTGAAGAAGAACCAAAGAAAGAGAGAGCAACTGATGTCAAAAACTTGCCAGCTCCAACTGTTAGGGTGGACAGAGATATGTTTGTTTTAATTGATGACGCAATGTTACTCATAAGAAAGATGTTCTCGAGCCATTGCCTGATGAAAGTGGTCCACATAACCGTATGGAGGTTAGTTTCACATTGTTTATACAGCTCCATATTTGATTCGACTTTTTTTTCGGAATGCTGATCTTTTTCTTATTATTATATTTTCATGGGAATTTCAGGTTAGCAAGGACGGAGGGCGTGAGGATGAGAAGCTATTAACTGAGTTTGCTAGACGCACGTTGGAGGTATTTATTGTTTATCATATCTTATGCACCAAAAAAAAAAAAAAAGAAGTTGAAGGTGCATATAAAGAAGCTATTGCATTGAAAATGCAAGAAGAGCTTATTCGTGAAGAAGAAAATCTGAACAAGAGAAGAGTGAAGTCAACTAAATTCGTGAAGAAATAAAGATGTTATTGCATTTTATTTTTTTTTAAAAACGTTGTTGCATTGTTGGAATGCAAAGTCAATTAAATTTCTTTTAGTTGTTTGTTTGATTACTACGCCTTGCTATACATTTTCTTAGTTAATGTATCAAACATTTACTACTAAAAAGTGAGCAAACTATTGTTATATTAAACTTGAACATATTGTTGTTTGTGTTTCTTTTTGATTTTCTATTACTGTGATGATTTGGCTTCGAGAAAATCAAACAGACTATTATCGTAGATCTCTGATTTATATGATTGATTTTTTATTTATGTATATTATAAATATATTAATATATTAACATAATCAAATTATTATTATGTTTTATTTTTTAAAATATGATATATTTTTAATTTATGATGTAACTTTGTGTACTTTTCAATTTCTCAATGCATATAAATCTGAAAAGATTATTAATAACATTTTATTTTTATTTTTTTAAACTACATATTTAAATATCAAAATTATTAAAATTAGATTTTAAATGAGGTGATATATATGAAGACGATATGATATTGATTAATGAGTTTATCTATCTTCCAAACTTTAAAATTCAAAATATAAATATATCAGTAGAACTAAATTAATTAAACTTTTTTGAACACAAACTGATTTTTTAATTTTGTTATTTAATAAAGATGAATTTTCTTATTTAATAACAAATTAAATAACAAAACTGATTTTTTAACCAAACTGATTTGTTAATTTTGTCATATAATAATAAATCAATTTTGTTATTTAATAAAAAATGTGTATGAAAATGTATTTATTATAAAGAAACATACAACCGACGATTCAAGGGACATAATCTTGAGAAGAAGCTCATTTTCGGCAGACAGATACACAGTTTCGGTAAACATGAGACCATAAACCAATCTAAAAACACTTTACCAAGTATCACTAACCCGTAAGTATGTTCACAGATTTCTCATTTATCTGCAACCGAGACCACCGTCTTGATAGCAGATCTAGAGCCGAGACTTCCATCGGAGATACAATCGGTAAAAGATAAACGTACGGCGACGAATCGAGCGTTAACTGATGAAGTGAATATGAGAAATAAGAAAAAAAACCGTTAGAGATCGTAGAAAACAATGAAAGATGAACCTTAGACATCGAAGCTTTCATCTATTATGAAGAAAATGCTGAAGGTGAGAAAACTACTTTTTGCTTAATTTTATTGGACTATTAATATTTAATTAAAGTACATATCATTTGTAAAAACTAACAAAAATCCAAATTAAAAAAATCTTATAATAAATATTCAACAAATGAAATAATAATAAATGTCATTTTTGTCCTTATGGAGAGAAAAAACTCTACTTTATTATATAAGATACTAATGGTGTTCCCGGGCTACGTCCGAATTTTCTTATATAAAGTTTAATTTAATTTATTATATTAATTTTGAATACATATAATATATATATATCGATTTTTAAAAATATAATTCATAAAATGAAGTTTAAATTATTAAATTGTAAACAAACTAATATTGACAGTAGATGTTATATGTTTCTGTTTTAATTATGCTAAGATTTTAAATAAATTTACATGATATTTGATCAAAAACTGTAATGTCTAGATAGGATGGTTTGGTTATTGTTTGATGAACTACTTTTTTGACAAACTGATGTATTTAATAATGTCTTTGTATAGGTAATTATTTTATTCTTCAAACTTCTAACAATGTCTATTATAGTATTTTTTTAATAAAATTTTGTTTTTGATGGTGAAGCGGGTAATATTTTTCTGCAAGTTACTGAACAAAAAACTATAAAATATCATACCTGATAATTCAAATTTATATAACTTCATACTCCCTCTGTTTCTAAAAGATCTATATTCTAGTTTATTCACACTTTTTTAAAAACACACAATAAATTTGCATAGTTTTTTGTATTTATTTTTTTCCAAAATTTTAAACTGATAAAAAAATCAATTAGTGTAATTAAGTTTTTTGAAGTTTGCAATTAGTTAATAAAACATGCATTGAAAATATAAAAAATGAATCTTTTAGAAACAATTTTTTTTTCTAGGATTATCTTTAAGAAACAGAGAGAGTATTTATTAGTTTTGTTTAAAATTTTAAAACTTTTTTGAAAAAAAAAACATTTTATATTTATTTTTGCCAACAATCGTATATAAAAGTAGTGTATACTAAATTTTGTAATATAATCATTCATAACTACAATAATGCTACTACACTGAGTCTATAATACTTGATAGTTTTAAACAGAAGTATATACTGAACTTTTTGTAAGCTTACATGCATTACATATGCTTGCATGATATTTTGATAATTAATACAATTTTGATTCTTGAATAATTATAGTAAACATGTGATAACATTTAGTGAGGGTTATTGTTTCCACTATTTTAATGAATTTAGAAAAACATTTGGATTTAGAAATCTTTGATAAATCATATGATTTAAAATCGAGCAAATAGATTTAAGAATCAAAGATATTGATTTCAAAATGAAAATAGCTTTTTACGAAAATCAAGGATATCCAAATATTAATAAATCATATGATTTTAAAATCGAGCAAATAGATTCAAGAATCAAAGATATAAATTTCAAAATGATTTTAATTGTCTTCTCGTTTCTTTTTTACTTTTGGTTTTAGAATTGTTGTGTAATTCTGTTTTTTCTCGTTTTAGTTTGACTCTTATTAGAGCTTTTTCTTTTCTTTTCTTTTAAACTCTCATTTTACGGAAATCTTTTGGAAATCAAGGATACTGATTTCAAAATGAAAATATATTTAAGAATCAAGGATATTGATTTTAAAATCGAGCAAACAGATTTAAGAATCAAGGTTATTTATTTAGACATTTCATATTTAGAGATATGAAAGTTGTCTTCCATCTTGAAGAATGGTTGAAAATGAGAAAGTTTTTTTTTTAATTTACTGGAACAAAAATATTTATTAAAATCATATCATTTGTAAAAAGCAATAAAAATTCAAATAAAATAAAAGATTTTTATAATTGGACCTAAAACACTATCGGCAAATGATAGAATGACAAGTATCATCTTTTGCCTCTACGGAGAGAAAAAAAACTCTACTTTATTATATAAGAGATATATAAATATTTATTTTAGAAATTTTTTTGAAATATTTTATAACCAATAAATCATATATCATCATTACAATATAAATGCATATATAACATTAATAAAAAATAAACTAAATATAAGTACATTGTAAAAAAATCACATTAACTTATATATCATTTGTTCATAAATAAAATATTTATGAAAATTTTTTGTAAATTTTTGTTAAAATAGAAAACTAATAAAATAATAATGAAATATAAAATTTGTTTTAATTAATGTTTACATAGTTATTAGCATTTATTGGTTCATTAAATAAATTAAATTTTGTTAAATATAATAAATATAAAAACATCATTAAAAAAAGGTGACATATGACATTTTTCCCCCTAAGGAGTGAAAAAAACTGATGTAGCGACATAACCGACATTCCAGCCACAAAGACTTATCGTTTATTTTTCCTTTTTGTTTTGGGTTTTTATTTATGTTTTCCTTTTACTTTTAAGATTATGATCTTCTTCTTCCTATATAAGAAGATCACGTTGTTGTAATCAAAACACATTGAAAAAATTATCGTTAATATTTCTCGAAATGTCGTGAATCTCGAGTACTCTAAAACCCTTGTCGAATTTGTTAAGAGCATTAACAACTTCGACCCTTTATTCTTGTCGAGTTGAGAGTATCAACTTCGATAGTTTCTTTCAATTCGCCCGAGTCTCTGGATTCTTGCGAATTCTTCATCCGATAGCTTCCGCTACTCCATCAGTTGGTATCAGAATCAGCACGTTTCGGGATTTCTTCTATTGTTCTCCATGACAAAGAAAACAACAGAAGGTACGTCACAAGACATGAATGATTTACGAGCACTAATTGTCGAGATGCAAACAGCTCTCGCCACCTCCATCCAGTCGTCGTTGCAGACCTCAATCGAACAATTGGGGGAAACATTGGCAACTCGTTTGGACACCATGACAACAACATTAATCTCGCGCCTGGAACCCCAACACCAGCGAGGCGTTAATGTTCCGCAACCAATCATCCAGCAAGCACAACTTCCTCATCACCAACCTCCTCTCCGCCACAACAATCAACGACAACACCAGCAACATCAGATAGGAGATGCACGTGCCCAGAATATACAAATTGCAGACGATGAAGACGATCGTCATCGTCAACTTTATCGAGAAGACTTACGACGACGGGATAACCTCGATAATAATTGGGAAAAAGGGTTTCGGATCGATATACCGGAATTCCATGGAGGACTACGAGGTGACGATCTTATTGACTGGTTAGTTTCAGTCGAGGAAATCCTTGAGTTCAAACATGTTCCTCCAGCTAGACAAGTTTCTCTCGTCGCTATGCGTTTTCGCGGTCATGCTGCAACTTGGTGGAAACAATTGAAAACAACACGATCACGTACTGGTAAGGCACCAATACAGACGTGGGACAAGCTCACTAAACACTTACGTCAGACGTTTTTACCTCACAATTACGATAGGACAATTTACAACAAACTGCAGAACCTCCGACAAGGTAGTCGTTCAGTGGACGAATACGCCGAAGAATTTTCTTTATTGCTTACACGGACAGAGATTAATGATAGTCAGGTCCAACTCGTCTCGCGTTTCATTGGAGGTCTCAGACCGCAACTCCAAAACTCTATGTCTCAGTTCGATCCGTCTACGATTAGCGAAGCACATCGGCGTGCGGCCACCTTTGAGCAACAATCACGTCCGTCTACTTGGACTCAACCCTCAAACCGAAATAAACCACAGGAGACGACAGTTTCGTCAGCTTCCACAGCAAACAAAGACACAGAAACAGGACAGTCAACCACTCGCCCAGCAGCCACAGATGATCAACAGGTGCGGCGCCCTTCGCGTCCCAACGCACTTCGCTGTTTTTCTTGTGGTGAAAA